GAATGCACAAAATATGAATAGTCCCACAACTTTTAAAAAATGATCAAAAGTAGGACTTTTTCTCCGGATTTACTATTTCCGGCCCGGAGCGCCACGTGGCGCACACGTGGCTTATTTTTTACACGCTGACATTCGACGTAGATAGGAAAAAATTCAAAGTTAGTCCCACAAGTATAGAGGGGTGACATTTTTGGTCCCGATGGAATGCAGAAAATTCAAAACTAGTCCCACAACTTGTAAAAAAATATGAACACGTCGGATGCCACGTGGCGTTCCGGGCCGGAAATAGTAAATCCGGCGAAAAAGTCCTACTTTTGATCATTTTTTAAAAGCTGTGGGACTATTCATATTTTCTGCACTCCGTCGGGACCAAAATTGTCACCCCCCTATACCTGTGGGACTAATTTTGAAATTTTCCCTGAAGTGCGGATATATAAAATGCTTAACACAAAACTACAGGGGCCGAATGAGCCTCGTGGAGTGGCCGATCTCGGAGATTTACTTGTGGTGTGAGGTAAAATTATATATTAACTTAAACACGTACGCAGGCAAAGAGAAAACAAATATTTGATTGTCACACCCCAAACAATCTAATTAAAAGAGAGAGAAATTATATTATATAGTATAACTTGGGTATTTTTTTATACCATGTTCAACTCAAAAGCTCATTTTCAATCTCATCTTGCAGCGAAACTGATTGCAAAAGAGGGGAAATCGGCCACATTCAAATTACCTTCAGTAATTGTCACATAAAACAGTTATTCTTCTCTAACCGAAAATTCATTTTCAAACCCAAAATAATATTTTTGTAATATTCTTTTTCACATTAACTTTTATAATTTTTCAGTGGTAACTACATATATTACAACTTTACAAGTTAAACCAAATTATTATTTTATATTTGGATGGATAAATGTATAAATAAATTAATGGAGGATTAATAGTTCATACATATAAAAATATTTGTTATATTGTAGTACTTGTATGTTATTTTTTCTTTTCATTATTAAATGGGTAATTTAATGTCATTTTTTCAATTTTATGGCATGTGAACAAATTTATATTTCTCATTACAAGCTCAACAAATATTTTAAAAAATAGATTAATTAATACAAATATTTTCATATAACGTCTATTTTTATAGATTAACACTTGGGTTTATATATATATATATATAGAGAGAGAGAGAGAGAGATGGGATCACATGAGAATAGTAAATAGTGAAAGAAATAAGAATAAATCTCAGCCATTGAATACAACATATCAATGGTCATGATTAAGCCAAAGTTTATTAATGATAGTCAAATATACGATGGCATTCTAGTAAATAAGTGTAGATATTGTGGTCAAATGTATAAATTTTACCACTCAATAAGGTCATTATCGTATTTGTACCCTCACCCACGTGACACAACCCACCCACCAACAACTCTCTCTCTCTCACACACTTCTACACACACATCACACACACCTATACACACACAGTCGAGACAAACACAACTCACACACACACACACACACACAGTTACAAGCTCGCCGGAGGCGTCAGATGGAGGATGCAGGAGAGACGGCGATGAGGTGGAGGAGGCAAGTCGACGCGACAACGACGGAGGCGATGCGACGCAGTGTCTGACGGCGGCGAGACGGCGCAGTGGCTGACGGCGGCGAGACGACTCGGCGGCGGACGGAGGCGAACTAGCGGCGGAAGCTGACAGACGCCAGGCGAGCGGCGACGGACAAAGGCGAGGCAGCCAGCGGCAAACACTTAGGGAGGACGACCCAAGCGGGATGTTCAGACAGATCTGGGGGACGGCGGCGGCGGCGTGTTGAGTGGCGCGGCGCGGTCGACGTGTTTAGCTCGTCCTTGATGAAGGCCAGGCGGCGGCGGTGGGCTGCCAGATGAACAGTGCTAGGCTGTGGTTGAAAGTTTGATTTGGGGGCTTAAGGGATGATTGGATATGAATTCAACTAGTTAAAAATTAGTTTTTTTTAACTATAGTTAAGTTTGAAAAAAAGTGGTATGGTTAGTTGATAGTGGATATATTAAAATAATATTTAAAATAAAATAATTAAAATTGATTTGATGTAAAAGTAGGAGAAAATGATTGGAAGTGATGTTAGTTAAAATTGTGTGAGTGGATGAATAGTGAATTATAGTTGATGTGATGTGTAAGAATGATTTGTTGATATTATTTAATTATATTGATAATATTGGAGGTAGTGGAGTTGAGTTAAATTTGAGTTTTTATTGATTTTTTTACTGTAGAATTTATATACAATCGCCCCCTTAGTTTTGAGAATTTGATAGTTTATATGGACTTAATTGAAATTTTAAAAAAGTTTAATTTATCACAATTCATTGCATATGTTAAATATGTAATTTATAAAAAAAAATACTAAATGCACATTAATAATATATAAAGTGCACATTAATGTGTTTGTATATGCACATTAAATATTAGAAATATATATAATTGTTTAATGCGCTACGAAATACATAATATTATTCGTCGGTTGTTTCGGTCAAATTGACTGACCAAAATGTCAAAAAATGAAATAATTGAGTTAAAATTGACCCGGCCGAACTTTTGCCTCAAATCAAATTAAAATCAAACTGAATCAATCGGTTTATTCGTTTAGTTAACTAAATTCTAAAAAATAACTGAAATAAACTATTATTTATATTATAAAAACATATTTAGTGTTTCTCCTATGGTTATTCAATATTTTATATCATTATTGGTTGAAAATAAATAATATTGAAATACTGATGACGATAATGTGCATTCTTATAGGCACTAATGTGCAATTGGTCTAACATTATTGTGCAATATATTGAACGAGTATTTTTTATTGTGCATTATCAATTTGTACATATAATAAAAATATATTTAGATTTTTACACTTTTTTATTTAATATTTTTATATTACTGTTAGCTGAAAATAAATAATATATATAGATAAAGTATATTTTTTTATATATAAATATAATCCAGTCAAGTTTGTTATTTCACTTTTCTTTATTTTAATTAATTTATTTATTTTTAAAATAAAGTCGAATCTTAATCGAAATAATCAAAAATTTAATATATGTAAAATACATGCTTTTTATGCTAATGTGCGTTCACAAACGAATTAATGTGCAATCGGTATAACATTAATGTGCAATAGTATAATCAGTAATATTCATTTTGTTTATTGTGCATTCTTGAATACATCAATGTGCATTTAATACAATAATAATGTGCATACTCTTACTTAATTAATGTGCCTTTACTAATGTTTTCATTATTTACAGATTTACCCCACATACTCAATTGCAATATAAATAAAATTTGTAAAATTGCATATAAGACCCTTGAATTACTCTAACTTCCTATTTGAAGCCCTAATTCAAAGTGCAGA